TCTATTTATAAAAGTAGAGTTATTATAAAAATATAATAAAAAGCACCCCACGTTTTTTTTTACGCTGAAATTAATTTTCTTTTTATCACTTTATTTTTTATTTTAGAATCATTAAAAATGATTGAAATATCAATATTTAAAAATAATTTTTTGCTTTTAATTAGATTTGCTATTAAAGCCAGTTTTTTAGTTTTTTTGAACTATAATTTATTATATTTTTAAGTTATAAGAGGTACCTATTTTTTGTTAAAACATCTACAGCGTATTTACTTTTTTCGGTTAGTGCATCGCATAAGCATTTAGCGGTGGAAGAGTTCAGTTCAATAATAAATTGAATTTGTTCAAAAGATATGTAATAAACAAGGTGGAAGGCCAACTTGCAGAGAGGATAGTTCGCATTAGTGAATTAGTTCTGCTTTTGCTGTTGTCGTGAACAATTTTCAGTGAAAATAGAAATGTTGTATTACTTGTTAGTCCTACACGTTTTGGTGCACACCTCACTGGGTAAGTAAATTTTATAAATTTTAGTAAACTTTTAGTAAATCGTTTTAACTAAATTAAATCACTATGCTTCTAAATCAGTTAAATACATTAAGTGCAAATGTTTATTTGTGTACAACAGTATATAATCATCTCCAACAATCAAATCTATTGTTAACGATTAAAACTGACAATAAATCGTTTAAAATAATTTCATTACATTATATTATATAATAATAATAATTTCGGTAGATTCATTGATCTGGAATACATAATTTTCATTTGAATGCACTTTTTAAGCTCTATATTTAAAATTTGTTTTAAAAAATCACCTTGTTATAAAATAAAAGAGAAGTGTAAACATATTAGCACTAATTTTAACATCAATTAAGTTTGTATTTGTGTCTTTTCTTTAAAAGCAAAAACAACTAGGTACTACTTGTTTGTAAATAACTGATTAAGAAATTTCCGTCAAGTACTTCTTGGATGATTAACTTTCAATTATTTTGGAACTGTTCTTTTAATTGCTGTCGTTGCATGAAAAAGCATAGCGGAAGCATCTTTTTCTATAAAAATAGAAACGAAAGTGAAAAGAAATCATTTTGTTTTCTATAATTTACTTACACAGTATGGATTAATACTTCACTTCCTTAACAATGAAGAGTTTTCGGTAAATAATTATATATAGTAACGTAATGTTTGTGAAAATTTTAAGAAAAATACGAACCTGCAGTTTAACTATTAATGGATACGAAATATATTTCAATAATGTTTTTATAAATTTTCTTTCTTTTAATTTTCTTTCTATTTAAAAACATGTATTTTCCAGGCAAACTGTAAAAACCGCTATTTAATAGAGGTTTAACAGAATAATAAAATCGCGACTGTAAAGTTCAATGAGTAATTACATTGTGAATTATGTATTACAAATTGAAACGAATACGTTAAGGGTGTTTTAATGGATTGTGTGTATAAATATGCATAATAGGTACCTATATCTATCATACATATCACATGCGGTAATACTAATCAAAGAAATTAATTCACACATATCTAACCAAAATGGTAGTGACAAAGTTGAAACAGTTTTCGTATAAATTGCGTTTAAAGTCCCCTCACAGTATAGCCAAACGATAGTTAACCTAATGCTAAAAGCAAAAATGTAAGGTAGATACTTATGAAATCAGTACTTTCTGCAAATAAGTAACGAATAGGTACTATATGAAACAGTATGAAATTTCTGGCAGTTACTATTAAATAATAATATGAAAATTCATTTTCAACTTTTATCCACAATAAATTACCTTAATTTAACAAGGAAAAATTTGTTGCTGTTGGCACACTCTCGCCCAGGAATCAACCCGGAATCTTGGTATTGCGCAACGATGCTATGACCACTAAGCTACTAGAAGTTACAACAACAATATTGTATTTATAGTAGAATAAAGATTCGGGCTATACGGCCGTAGTCTAAGTGAACTATTCTGTCCAGACGTTTTGACGGCTACTGTGGCTGACATCCTCAGTGGTAGTGCTGTGTTGACAATGTGAACGTAGATTATATCTCGAAATCTCGACAGAGACTGGACCCAGTAACTACAACTGAGGATGTCAGCCGCAATAGCCGACGAAACGTCTGGACAGAATAGTTCACTTAGACCGCGGCCCTATAGGTCGAATTTTAATTCTACTATGGATTCCGGCCGTGAAAGCCTTTGTTCTTATAATATGGTATTTGATATCCATATATATATCACTATTGTATTATATAGTATAGTAATATATATTAGTATTGTATTATATACTATACATTAGTATAGTATTAATATATATATAAGTTCGACGGATCTGTGCCCTAATAAGTACAGTTCATACTTTTTGCTGTTGTCACCTCTCGTAGGTTAGTGATAAGACTATTAGTGCGTAAAACCAAAGGTCCCGCGTTCGATTCCCAGCGAGGGTGTGACATCAAAAAAATTTTTCCTCATTAATTTGAGGTAACTAACTATTAAAATTGAGAATGAATTTTCATATTAATATTTAAAATAGCGAATTATTCGTAGTGGCTACGCAACATGAAAGTTCTATATTTAGTAATATTATTCGTACAAATATATAGTGGCTACATTACTTGAAATGTTAATTATCAAAAAAAAATATATTTATTTTAACTACATTCATTTAATGAATGCATATGAAGGTTTATTTATCACCTGCGTAAAATTTTGTTTTGTGTTTAGGTACCTAGGTAGGAATCTAAAGGCACTTTTATAAGCTTTAACGAATTGATTAAATATTTTATTTACGATAGCTTTACAAGAGTTACAAAAAATCGTAAAAAACTAATGTATTAGTATGCTCTCGAATATGTAGGTGCAGTAGACTAATTAGCCCGTTGTGATTCCTTCCCCCTTTGGGGACAGGTGAGGTGCCAGGGTTTGGAAATTTACCGCTGACGTTGCCGTTGTCATCGCAGCCCGCTCATGCTAGTAGACGTGTGGCGGCCAAGTTCTTCACTTAAGTATTTGCAATCTACGTATACCTATTTAGGCCATCACAGGGGTTATTTTTTCGTTTATTGTAAATTAATATTTATAACAGAAATTATATTTATTTTTCGAATAAAATAAATTTCGAATCGACATACTATCCAGAAAGAAAATAGAGAGATTCTTCACCTAACTTCATTTCAGTAACTATCGCAAAATATTTCATTTTTAAAGAAAATCTATTCTATTTTTTTAATATCTCTTCGTGTGCCTACACTTTAGGTATACCCACAGCTAATTTTGACATAACTCTAAAAAGTATTTACAAAGTTGGTTTTTATGTAGGTATAACGTGGATATTATGTTAGAACACATGCTTAAGATCAAATTTTAACAGATAAGACACGTCTTACGCAATAAAAGTAGTCAAGGACGGGTATTACAACAATGTAAATGGCAAAGGATGTAAATATTGTAGGTACCGGTAACGTCATCGTTAATATCGTCTTCAACAACTGACAATAGCATTACGCAAATATTCCACAGAAGATCTGATAAACCGCTGAGCACTTTTTAAAGTTGTACTTCTAATTAAAGTGAACTATCCAAAGAGTAACTTTTTTCTTTCTTAATGTACCTATTGTTTATATTTAATGGCATATTTATATTTAAAAAAAAAAAACAAAGATGAGAGATATGTATGCTAATAAGTAGGTGTATTAACTGTCAATATGAATATCCGTTGTTTACGTCTTGAATAATTACTCATCAAATTTGTGAGCTTTTTATGCTGTTTTTGACAATTACAGGAAGTATTTTCGGCTAATAACATGATCGAATATTGCAGGATAATCAATACCTACCTAATGACCTTAGTCGATTAATTTAAGCCTAGAAGACGGATGTTATAAAATGAGTAGGACCGTTTTTGGTCATTTATACTATTTATAATATATCAAGTATTTCATCTAGAATGTTATTACTTTATAACAACAAAAGTTCAATTTCTTGAAGCATCACCTAAAATGGGTACGTTGGAGAATAATACAAACGTTAGTTAGAAAGTACGTATACGAAACAGAATGCAAAAAAATATAAAATTTTTAGTAGAGATGAGCAAGTACTTATATTTTTAAATAAATCCTGTGGCACAAATACTTATCAAAATTAAACAGATAAGTACCCATTTATATATTTTCTTACAGATATACAAGATGGATTTAATGTTTTCCGTCTCCTTAACTTTAAAAATTTCTTAGGTGTTATAACGCACAATAAATAAATTTTAATTTAGAAAAATAAAATAATGTTGCACATTATTGTGAGACAATTCATAGAGATGTGCAAATGATTTTTTAAAAGTATTTAAATACAAAATGCAAATACTTTTTTGAATTGTTATTTCAAATGTAAAATACAAAATAGATTTTCCTTTTGTATTTTAAATGCTAAATGCAAAATACGTATTTTCAAACTAAATTTTTTCCAATAAATACTTTTTTGTAGTATGTACCTATTTAATTTTCTACATTCACTTCATCATCATCATAAGGTCGTCAGTCTCTGGTTGGACACGTACCTCCACTCTTTTCTATCCTGAGCTAATCTTCGCATTTCCCTAAAACTAGAACAACCCACATCCTTAATTATTTGCGAACAGTAATCTTATCTAGGTCTACCTCTACCTCTCCTATCTCCTGCTTCTGACCCTAATATGTCGCTAACTTGACCTTCATGCTTGAGAAGGTGTCCTACTAACCTATCTCGCCTATTTTTTATTAACTTTCATAGAGTCCTCTGTCCTCCTATTCTATCTAATACGTCTTCATTTCTAACCTTCTGTATCCACGGTATCCTCTTTATTCGCATATAATACCACATTTCGAACTCTTCCAGCCTTCCCTTTTCCGCGGCGTCCATTGTCCTTGCAGACATTTTCTCATTTTTTAAATATTGAAGTTTTTTTAGACTAATAGTGGTGTTTGCATTATACCATCAGCTGCGAAGATTGAGTATGATTCATATTTTTCTGTATGAATTGATTGAGATATATTGTTTTTCTATCTTTATGTTATAGTTTCGTCAGTNAAAGAATTTTGTCCTCTTTTTAAGCTTCTAATACCTTCAATAGGTAATGTTAGCAACTATAATTCATCATTTTATATAATGTCTGATCGATGATACTAGCAAAACTTGTGATGGCAGAATACGTTTAGAAAAGTATTTTAAATAAAATACAAAATGCTTTTCTCAAAAGAGCATTCAAACGCAAAATAAAAATAGGTATTTTTTATTTTGTATTTGCATTTTAAATAAATAAATAAATATTTCAAATAAACCACATCGCTGGTGGCTAGGATCGTGAATTCATCGATATAGATTTTTGATGAAAAAAGTATTAATGTGATCATTTATTGCTGTAATAACATTTAAATGATCTTCGGGGCACTGCTTGTGACGCATGGTCATTAATAGGTCATCAATAATATAAATAAATAAATAAATTGGACAATTATAGAAGTACTACATATAGTA